CCTTACTGTAGCCTGGTACACACGACCCTTAAGATCCAGTGAGATGCCTTTTGACGCCACAAGTGACGCAAATTAGCAAACGTGATTCGAGCCTTTGAGATTCTTACAACCATGACCTACACAATAATAGATGTCACTGGCGTTCATGCTGTCAGTTTCTTTCTAGATTGTCTGACTGAGCAGTGAGGTGTGGGCACCTCAGAAGGGCAGCACTAGGTCCCCTCCCCCACCCGCTTTTTTCCTCCTCTTTTTCACCCTAGTGCCAATATTGATTTTGCTATCTTCGATGCCGATAATGCCATGCCACCCAAAGGCTGCACGAGGGCTGGGATACCGCCAGGTTGCCCAAGTCTAGACTGGGGAAGTCGAGAGGGTGAGGTCGGATTCGAACCACGGACCTTCGGGTCAGTAAACTCGCGCTCCAAACACTTGTCTAAGGGTGGAGAAAAAACGTACCTCGTGTAGAATTGCCAAGGGTTATGTAGTGAGATAATTGTTTTACACTGAAACTTGCAGTTTTACTGCCTACCACCAAATACTCCACTAGTACAACTTTACAGAGAACGCCATTTACTCGAGGTTCGAAAAGGCGTTTCACTGAACCTCTGGAAACCGAATCTTCAACATGAGAGGGTCACCTCGAGGCCCATCGAGCTATTCTGGGGATGTCCACGTGACACCTAGTCTTTCAGTGCTTATTCTGATGAACACTACCCTGCCCTTCCAGATTGCAACCTGTGGCGACTTGTTCTGCAGAAATTGAAGTGCACTTGCTGCTCCCGCCAAACACCACTGCATTGTCGTCAGGTTTTTGAGCCAAAGGCTCTGGCTGGGAACCCCAACCCTCTTGTCCAGATGTGGGCACCATGTCAGTATCACAGGCCACTACAACCATGAGATGAATTGCACACCTCAAGGCGAACTGACAAAAACCAATGATGTTACTACACTTATATTCTTGCATTTAACGCCATTCTTTTATCATACAGAGTAATGTCGCATGCACGATGATCGCCTTTTGACTGTAACGTCCTTTCGGTGCCTAGCTGCTGTGCCACTCGAAGGAAGAACGAAGGCTGAGATACTGCCAGGTTGCCCAAGCTCAGACGGAAGTCGTGATGTAGATGTTGGATTTGAACTACGGACCTCCCGGTCTGTAAGCTGTCATTTTAACTACTTAGCGATCTCGTTCAGAGGCCATAAGTTGGGTGGAGACGCACGCACTCAATCAGCCGGTACATGAATCTCAGCAACATGAAGGCTGAAACCGGTTCTAAGAAAGGCACTAAAGCCGAGCCAGTTTTTTCCAGTTCGCCACCTCAACCGGACTACAGCCACCGGTGTAATGCATCACCTCTACTTGCCAGTCCTGACCGCCAGCATTGTTTACTAGGGCGATGAATGTGATTAGGAGACTGGGGTGCGATTACTCGGTTAGCCTACTTAGATGGGGTCCTTGAGCTCTTTGCACTCGCCTGAATCCGTAAAATCTGCCCGCCGATTTCTGTGAACTCCGCGAACCACCAACGGAATATCTGATGGACATTCGCTCAAGTCTTTCTAGCTCTTTGAAATCAGGCTGCTCAGTTTCCAGCCATTAGCGATTACTTCTCTTGATACAACGGTGTGAAATAACGACCCTTATGCCAAGCGCCCTGCAAGAGTAAAATGGACTGAAGCAATGCCGGTTCTGAGCCAACAACGAGCCGGGGCGGGAGATTACTGTCTACAAGGTCCGTGGTTTGAACCCAACCTCAGCTGCTGCTGTCTAGGCTTGGGCGAGTCGGCAGTATCTCAGCCCTCGTGTCACCTTTCGGTGGCATGTCAACTATGTACCGGTGTTACCGTGAAAAGATGATAATCAAATCAGTAACAGCACCGTGCATACGACAGAGTACGCGGTATGGTCAAAGAATAGCGCTTTGTGCACGAATAAAAACGTAATTTCATTGGTTTTTGTCAGTTCACCTCGAGGTGTGCAATTCATTTTATGGACGTACGTGGCCATGGCGTCCACACCTAGACAGGACGATTGTCGATTCTTGTGACTGAATATGCAGCAGAAGCTATCACTACAAACCTCAACGAATCAACAATAGGACCAAGACGGACGACGGTTGACTAGCAGCCTCAGGTGTCCAGATTTGGCGGCTAACGGATCTCGATGAGGTGGAACAAGATAGCTGTTACTGAAAAGTCGACCTCTTCCAACTCATTCTCCGTAACACCGGACCAAGGAGAGTGCCGAGCAGTGAAGCCATCACGCTGAAAGACGGCCCCAAAATCCACTATACTATACTAGAATGTTCAGTGATGGCACCCCGCATCGAATCAGGCTGAGCTCTAGACGGTGTGATTTCAATGGAACATGAGGCGATTGCGGGAGTTCCCCACTGCAAAAAGGCCATTGACTTGAATATATACCATCGGGGTGTCATTTGGCAATTATTCGTAACCGCCTGTAGGTATCAAGATACACAGGTTTACCGGAGATCACAAGTTCGTTCAGCAGTAGTACTCTTTCAGCGCCTAGCTGCCATCCACTAGGAAGTACGAAAGCTGGGATACGGCCAGGTTTCCTACGCCTAGACTAAGTCGAGAGGCAGAGGTTGGGTTGGGGACACGGTAATTGCGCTTTTTTATCACTGAGCCACCTCGTCGATCAGGTCGGAGACTGTTCCATCTCGGCAATAGCATTCGTCCTGGGCGATCGACTAACCCGATGCATTGTACGCCGAAACAAGTTCCCAGTGGAAGACAACACAAAGGGGAAAACAGCTCTGAAAACGGCATGGTCTTAGGTGCCCTGAGGGATCATCTGCGTGGATCGGGTTGTCGTCCAACATCAAAATGCTCAGAGGCACTGCGCGTCATGCCGTCATGAAAAAGTGGAGCTGATTGGTGGTGCCATCATCTAATCAACATCCCATTGTCCCCGCGCACAGTACCCAGTAAACACGTCACCACCAGTGGCAAGTGGTGGCATGTTATGATCGATGGCGTCACCGGTGGCTAAAAGCGGCCAAAGGTGGAACCCCAAAAATTTCATGATATATTTAATCGATAGTGCATTCAAACAAATCGGCTTCAAAAATTGGCGTCACCGTAAAAGCGGCCAAAGGTGGAACCCCAAAAATTTCATGATATATTTAATCGATAGTGCATTCAAACAAATCGGCTTCAAAACAAAAAGCGTAAGTAGAGCTCCAGTATCCAGAGTATCCTGTTACATTTGTTTTCAGAGGGCTTTTATGCAACAAATGCTATGTTTGGCTCGTATTCACCAACCGAATCAGTGGCACAGCTAGCCACCTTTGGCCACCGTTAGCCGCTGATGGCAGTGTCTACTGGGGCACGTTTCAACAGGTTGCCGCGAGACGCGATACAATGTGGGTAGGATTTGGTAACGAGAATCTTGTTGTTCTCGACCGTTCTACAGATACTGCGAATCTGACGAATTGGTTGCACAAGTCTACGGTTTGTAGTCTCCAGCCTTTCCATCCAACAGGTGAGCTCAACGTTGTGATTTTGAAGCATGTCTTTATTGTAAGGTATTGTGTAATAAACGACCATGAATCTCATACGCGCACACACCACCCGCGAACTAGTTTTTCAATTGTTCTTGATAAGCTGTTTAATCGTGATTCTCAAACCTATCACGGCTGCCAGACAAAACCCTTTCGCCATGACTAACCAAACCACAGTACGGAGGCCCGACGTACCAGATGGAAGAGGAGTAGGATTGTCAGATCGCGAATCAACCATCCGAAAAAAAGATGATAATCAAATCAGTAACAGCACCGTGCATACGACAGAGTACGCGGTATGGTCAAAGAATAGCGCTTTGTGCACGAATAAAAACGTAATTTCATTGGTTTTTGTCAGTTCACCTCGAGGTGTGCAATTCATTTTATGGACGTACGTGGCCATGGCGTTCACACCTAGACAGGACGATTGTCGATTCTTGTGACTGAATATGCAGCAGAAGCTATCACTACAAACCTCAACGAATCAACAATAGGACCAAGACGGACGACGGTTGACTAGCAGCCTCAGGTGTCCAGATTTGGCGGCTAACGGATCTCGATGAGGTGGAACAAGATAGCTGTTACTGAAAAGTCGACCTCTTCCAACTCATTCTCCGTAACACCGGACCAAGGAGAGTGCCGAGCAGTGAAGCCATCACGCTGAAAGACGGCCCCAAAATCCACTATACTATACTAGAATGTTCAGTGATGGCACCCCGCATCGAATCAGGCTGAGCTCTAGACGGTGTGATTTCAATGGAACATGAGGCGATTGCGGGAGTTCCCCACTGCAAAAAGGCCATTGACTTGAATATATACCATCGGGGTGTCATTTGGCAATTATTCGTAACCGCCTGTAGGTATCAAGATACACAGGTTTACCGGAGATCACAAGTTCGTTCAGCAGTAGTACTCTTTCAGCGCCTAGCTGCCATCCACTAGGAAGTACGAAAGCTGGGATACGGCCAGGTTTCCTACGCCTAGACTAAGTCGAGAGGCAGAGGTCGGGTTGGGGACACGGTAATTGCGCTTTTTTATCACTGAGCCACCTCGTCGATCAGGTCGGAGACTGTTCCATCTCGGCAATAGCATTCGTCCTGGGCGATCGACTAACCCGATGCATTGTACGCCGAAACAAGTTCCCAGTGGAAGACAACACAAAGGGGAAAACAGCTCTGAAAACGGCATGGTCTTAGGTGCCCTGAGGGATCATCTGCGTGGATCGGGTTGTCGTCCAACATCAAAATGCTCAGAGGCACTGCGCGTCATGCCGTCATGAAAAAGTGGAGCTGATCAGTTATGCCATCATCTAATCAACATCCCATTGTCCCCGCGCACAGTACCCAGTAAACACGTCACCACCAGTGGCAAGTGGTGGCAAATAGGGGTGGCATGTTATGATCGATGGCGTCACCGGTGGCTAAAAGCGGCCAAAGGTGGAACCCCAAAAATTTCATGATATATTTAATCGATAGTGCATTCAAACAAATCGGCTTCAAAAATTACTGCGTAAGTAGAGCTCCAGTATCCAGAGTATCCTGTTACATTTGTTTTCAGAGGGCTTTTATGCAACAAATGCTATGTTTGGCTCGTATTCACCAACCGAATCAGTGGCACAGCTAGCCACCTTTGGCCACCGTTAGCCGCTGATGGCAGTGTCTACTGGGGCACGTTTCAACAGGTTGCCGCGAGACGCGATACAATGTGGGTAGGATTTGGTAACGAGAATCTTGTTGTTCTCGACCGTTCTACAGATACTGCGAATCTGACGAATTGGTTGCACAAGTCTACGGTTTGTAGTCTCCAGCCTTTCCATCCAACAGGTGAGCTCAACGTTGTGATTTTGAAGCATGTCTTTATTGTAAGGTATTGTGTAATAAACGACCATGAATCTCATACGCGCACACACCACCCGCGAACTAGTTTTTCAATTGTTCTTGATAAGCTGTTTAATCGTGATTCTCAAACCTATCACGGCTGCCAGACAAAACCCTTTCGCCATGACTAACCAAACCACAGTACGGAGGCCCGACGTACCAGATGGAAGAGGAGTAGGATTGTCAGATCGCGAATCAACCATCCGAAATCATGGAATTGTAATGAGGGCACTATATCAAACGCGTATACCCCGAGACACACGTAAACAGCGCGCTGTAGCAACCTAAACAGGAGCTACTGAGCTCACCGAACTGAAAATCTGCGAGGAAGCCCACAACTGTTGTCACTGAAACCAGTGGCATCGAGTTTCCACAACCAGATCTCCAGTAAGGTGTAAAAGTGAGGCAATTTAACGAGCAATAACGAACCTGTCGAGGAGTGCGCTGCTTTAAGGTTATCACGCCCGCGGTTGGAATAACCGCCTTGCCGAAAGGAGGATATTGGCGAGCAATTTAAACAAATTGCCCTTCGAATGAAACAGAATGTCCTAGAATAAATGTTCCAATTTTTGGGCCCACGTACCAGTCAAACTACACGGACAATAAAACAGAGGCATTGCTGGAAATTCTGACGAAATAAATTGACTTTTGAAACGCTGGCAGTTACAGATTGCTCTCAGTATTCGCCAAATGGAACTGAATTTTTCAAACCTACGGAGTTTTGGACGGTGCCACTTCACAGTGAAGAATGTCTATGTCTAGTGAATTGGTCTTTAGGGGTGCTTGGTTTAAGTGAGCGAACTGGTAAGGTTATCAAACACCACTGTCTGTGAAAATGATGCATAATATTGTACAGTATCGCGAATTCCAGTATAACGCGAAGCGCCTGGAATGGACGAAGGCAGCAGGTAGCTCTGTAGGTGAAATAATTCAGCGTGATTTCGTGAATCTATATTGTACTTGTAAAAAATATATGGAAATGCCTCTTGTGCGAATAATTTTTCCATATCCGCAGGCTTGCGGATGCTGATGACCCATGCATGAACGTTGAGGTTGGGGTAAAATACAGCCGACAACTAACATGGGCCACGGTGCTCATTCAACCAGCCACATAGAACTTAAATCGATCGTGTTGGAGAGCTTAACGAACCCAGCCTATGCACGTTACTGAAATACGGTAAGGGGAAAATGTGCCTACCCATCTAGGCACATTTGCTGTTGACCAGGTGGCTATCAACCTGTTCGCAGAACTTGGTAATTCACTTGCAGACGTTCCAACACCATACTAGTAGACATCAGTGCGTAGTGGTGTGGAAACTCTTCGTTTGGCTGAGTGCGTTCATGCAGCATTTGAAGGCTGTTCACCGCATTTTGACTTGATTGGTTGGTTGGGTGGTAGCGTTTTCGTGAATTTATCGGTCCATTCGTGATTTTTGTTGTGTTGCGGCCTGCGTTCGTTTGAGGAGATTGGTCATATCAATGCCTTCTGTTTTCAGCGGCTTCCTTCTCCGTTTCATTTGATCTCCTTGATTTGCACTGCCTTCTCAGGAGTGATCGGTTGGCAGCACAGCCCTATTTTCTCTATTGTGCCGGCTGGTGTCGTTGAGTCCACCGGTTAATTCGGTACTTTGGCTTATTGAATGGGTGCCTCCTCCAAACCAAGCGATGTGTTCGTTTTGATTGGACACCCTGCTTCGGATGCATTAGTTGGTAATTTATTAAGTGGCTGTTGATCTGTCCACCAAGCTTGGCAATTGATTTTCAAACGTTTCGCCACCATTCAAGGAGAAATCCTCAGTACGGCGTTGATTTATAAATAGGGTAGATTTCAATACGCTTGTTGCTAGCCTTCTCCGTGACGAACCACGTTTCCATAAGTTCGTGTTTTTTTCCGCTCTTGCTCGAGCCAACATATGAAAACTACTCCGGGTGAACTCGTGTTCTTTCTGATCCTTATGCGTGAAGGTGAGGGAAAATTCATCGTGTTTTTTTATACCAGGCTCGTGCTCATGTATTCTGGTGGAGAGCTTCCTTCAAGCTTGTTCTATATATCGGTTGTCGCAGATTTTTCACAGGATCCTCTATATGACACTGTTATTCATCGTTGGATCTAATTCCCCCCTTGAGCTCGACACTGTGTTCGCAGGTTTGCAAGCGCATGTAGTGTTGTGCTGTCGTAAGCGCCTCACGGTCATTTCGGAGTCGTTCCCGATGTACGGGAGTGTGACTCGTTTGATTATTTTTTGTGGCGTTGTGCTTGCCGTTTTTGGCCTTACAAGTGACCTCCAGATGAAATTCCTTGGGCATCCATTTCTTTGGAACAATTTGTACAGGCAAATTTTGCGTGAAAATCTGTACGTGACCAAACCAACCAACTAGAAAACATAATCTATAGGAACGGAAGGAAGCTCCAAGATCTATACAAGATGATGAAATGGGAATTTTGGAGAATGAGAGCTCGTGATTCGGCCGCTCCTTGTTTTCACTGGCTCCCAAAGGTGCGCAAACAAACAACGCCCCTCCAACCAACGGTATCACTCCCTGAAACGGCGATCTACAATAATAATAATATTTAAGTTTATTCCCAACTGGTGGGTGACAGACCTTCAGGCATGATCATAAAACCACAATCAAAAAAGCATGACTAGTGGGACTTGCGGCTTGCCGGGATTGCACGGAAAAATGAAGGTCTTATAGACAGTGGGCATAATCCGATGTACTCGCTGTCATCCCTAAACCGGAACGGGCTAGGAAACTTAATTACTACTGTTGTTTTCTTTTGGGGAACATATCGAACTGAAGCAAGATCAGATGGTTAAGACTGAAGGCGGCGGGCAAAAACAAAACGAAGGAGGCAAAACTCCCCTACATTAGAAGCGATCAGCTGGACATCTGATTAAATTTTAACTAACTGATGGTTGATGAACACAGTGTTTAAGGTGCTCATTTACCTGCTAAGTGGTGAACAGTCAGGGGCCGACATTGTGCTTCTATTCATTTCAGACCCAATCAATCTGTACTATATTGTTGAAGCACAACTGAAATAGTGCAACTCGGTCGCCCATATTCTTGTTAAATACGGGCCGGACGGGCCTGGTACATGAGCTCAACCCTTCTTGTTTTGACTTAGACCTCAGTTGAGGTAGTTGCATTGGTCCGCACCCACTTCTTCATCGTACAACGATAAATGATGGGGTGACCAAACTGCCCGAACAGGTAGGCCCTCATAAGATGGTCCATAGCGTTTTCTTGCTGATTAGGCCGGAAGCGCACAAGAAGCTTTGCCCTCTTTCCGAGTCGAATCGTTGCCACAAGCCAATTGACAGCTGTGTATGGTGGAGCATGGTGCCAGTGGTTGGTGTGACTTTCTTCCGAAAGTTAAGATGGGACATAATGACGGTATGGTTTACGGAGCACAACTACTGGAAAATAGCCCAGCGTCCTGAAATGCTTCCCATAACTTCCACGTCTTCTGGGTCACGCCAAACGTATGATGCCGGCGTAAGTTTTGCCCGGGCTAGTGGGATAGTTGGAAAACAGTTATCATAATGGTTATTGATGACCTGGCAAAGGGATATAACAATACTCAGGAGTGATCATGTGGGTTCATCTTTGCCCACTAAACACAGTATCTATCTTCCACCACCGTTGGCAGGTTGTCGGCAACTAGTCGGCAAAGATCAATTAAGATCGATAACATGGCGTCTGCACAGGGCGAATATCTGAGTTCGTAACAATCATAAGGCTGTCATCCCTAAAACGGAACGAGCTAGGAAACTTAATTACTACTGTTGTTTTCATTTGGGGAACATATCGAGCTAAAGCAAGATCATATGGTTCAGACTGAAGGCGGCGGGCAAAAACAAAACGAAGAAGGCAAATGAAGAGGCGTCCTGCATGCCATATGACGGTAAAACTACTAATTACTGGAAATGAGGAGTCAGAACAGCGGATCTGGCGACGCATCAGAGTTGATGTGAACCAGCCGGTCAATCTGAATCAAACCAACACCGAGGCATCGAGACATTGGACTGTTGTGCGCACGGCCGGCGTCACGGAAGGCGTAGGTCGGGCCGCTGAAGTCGAGTAACTAGCAATGCGGATAGATGATAGCAGGGATATCAGAATCATAGTGTACAGTAAAAGGTTTATAAAAGAAGTTGAATCACCTCATCGTTGGGTCTCTACATTCAGTCAACAATGCGGGATAATTTCGGACAGACCGAAGAACGTAAACATCGATCAGGATGAAAAAACGGTCTCATTTGAGGTGAACTCGTTGTTCACGTCTCAAGATATCCATTATGGCAAAACAACTGTGTCAAATTGTCAGATAACGGTGGCATGCTAACTAGCTCAAGCAAATGTTACAAAGTGGCTCCACGAATTCTCCGACAGATCTCCCCTTTTCAAAAGATGCAAAGCAAAATTCTACGAACAAAACATAATATTCGCGTGCCTCCTCATCTGTAGTATCACCATCATAATGGTAAAAGAGGACCCATATCAATTCTTCGACCTATGCTGGATCACACACCTTGAGTTCGACGGGGTATATTACGAACAGCAATGAGGGAAACCGATAGGGATTGCAGAAATTACGATGCAAAGGCAGGAACAAGTTTTAATGTGCGATATAAAGCCAAAATTATGGATCCGTTACGTGGACGACACTTTTGTGATAATAAAATGACCCGACTGCTAAGCAACGTTTCCGACAACAGCAAATTCACAGCAGAAGGGAACAACGAAAAAGTGACATTTATGGAAATCACCGAACAGACAGTACCGTTGTGCCGATGCACGTTTTGGAGACAGTGAGCTGACCACTCCAACTGCGGCAGGCCCTCATTTTGAAGCTTACCTAATATACATATGTGGTCCTTTTTCACGCACCTTTCGAAGCTCATATCTGGCATACGAAAAGAGAGGCGTTAACTGCAAATCGTGTGCCTACTGTGAGGAAAGAGCTCGGTTTTGGCTGGAAGTGTGGTAGTTTTTTGTCTCCTTAAAAATTAGCTTATTCCTTATATCATTGTCATTTTTCGCACATTGTCAAACATATCGGTTCATCGCATTTACCACTGAGCGTGAGACCATTAATCAGCTGGGCGTAAAATTCTTCCAGCCCTCACTTGGAAACTTGCTTTTCAGAGCTGTTTACTTCATATGGCGAAGCATTTTTGCCTGTCCAGTAGTAAGTGGCTACCAATGAAATGAAGATTTGAACGCTCGCTTGTTGACTGTGTGAGTGTTGGCCCCCCAGATCATGAACTTTTTATTCATGAACAAGATCTCTTCTGGTATTTTTATTTAAAAAAATTGTTAGGTCTAAGTGATTCGAGCATTTGTATACAGGATTTGTCCGCTATACAGTAATGACTTTAGTGATCCTACATAGCACGGACTGAGCGGGCCAGATATTTTTCTAATGGTTGGTGACCGACCCGGATATAAACCTCGAGCAGCGTTCTGATGGGGCTGGGG